TGAACCTGAAATGCCACACAAAGCCAGATGTCTGAAGGATGTCTCAACCACTGGGAAAAACCCACCAGCTGAAAACAGGAACCAAGGAGGAATCCTGTCTGCCTCCATCCACTATGCTGTAGGGGGAAAAGTCACTGCTGAGAAGTCTGTAACCAAAGGCCTCCTGCGCCATGTGGCCGGGGTAAAATCAGGGATGCTACTTGGTTCAGGAAACTAGACAGAAATTAACTCAAGTGCTGGGCCCATGACGCCCCCTTGTGCCGAGAGAAGCAAATGGCTTCTCCGCAGAAAAGTCACCAACCCCAGATCTTTCAGGGCCCCCTAAGACCAAGATTGGCCAAATATAAGCTCTCAAAAAAAGGTCACCAAATATAAAAGAGAAACAAGCCACTGCGAGCAACAGAGGGCAGACAACAATCAACAGATCTAGACAGCCAAGGACTTCAGGTGTGGAATTCAAGACAAAGAATATAAACTTACATATGGAATGTTAGCTGGAAACGGAACAAAAAGAGTACAAGCAACAAGAGACTATACACAATGACCAGGGGCTCGGAGAGTGGGCAGAGGGGCTGCAGACTCGGCAGCTCTTCCCAAATCCCCTGCTTAGGGACAGGCTAGACAACAACAGCAACAGTGTGAAAGGATCCTCACAAACCCTGAATTCATTCGGGGGAGACAGACCCCAGACACCTCAAGACCCGAGAGGAAAGCATCAGGTGTGTGATAGGCCAAGGCAGAGCCTCCAGGGAACCCAGCAGTCTTCACTGGAAGCCTGGGGGTCAGTGTGAGAGCACAGCAGGAGCTGGGAAGGAGCCCCTGTGAGCACATGACCTAACAGCCAGGGCTGAAAGGAATCAAACAGAATTAAATAGAAAAAAGTAAAAAACATAATCACTGAAATAATAGAGAGAATAGGGGAGAGGTAATATTTAGATATAATGTGGACTTTCTGGTAGTCCAGTGGTTAAGAATCCACCTCCCAATACAGGGGATGCAGGTTTGATCCGTGGTTGGGGAACTAAGATCCCACATGCTGTGGGGCAACTAATAAGCCGACGTGCTCTAGAGCCTGCGTGCTGCAACTACTGAGCTTGCACGCCACAACTAGAGAGAGAAGCCTATGTGCTGCGACGAAGGTCCCATGTGTCGCAGCTAAGACCCGACGCAGTCAAATAAATAAATAAACAAAATACAAAAATAAATTAAATAAAATATCTTAAAAAATAATAATAAAGAGATAATGGCCAAGAATTTTCTAGACCTAACCTGCAGATACAGAAAACACATCTTACATCAGATAGCACTAAACCAACCAACCAACTAGGAATCCACACCTGGACAGGTCAAACAGAAACCGCAGGACCCCAAGACAAACAGAAGATCTTAAAAGCAGCCAGAGGGGGAAAAAAAGAACCTACAAATGAACAAGAGAATTATAACAGCCAGCTGAACTGCGACGATGGAAGCAGAGGCAGTGGAGTGAAACCCACAAGGAGCTCAGGGTGACCACACTCTTACAGACATGGTCAGATAACTCTCCAGCGGTGACAGGACAAGGTTCTCAAGTTTGGGCTTGTGCTGCTCAACAAGCATCACAACTATCACTGGAAAGACATACTCTAGGATAATCCAGAAAGACACGCCATCCAACTGTGACCACACCTCAGGTAGACAGGGTGTTTCACTCTACAATCCCCGTTTCTGGCATCCAGTCATCAGAATAGCTTAGACACACAGCTGCCACCCCTGCAGTGCTCATCACGTGCAGGCACCGGACAACCATGTGGAGGAGGCACCACCACCCCCTTGCAGACAAGGGTGGTGAGGCCCAGTGAGGTTAGGTGACTTCCCAGGCACACAGCCAGTGAGTGTTGGGTGTGAGTCCAAACCCGAGTAACGCCCATAGGAAGTGATTCTCAAGATGCAAAAACCCTTTGCAAGCTGGGAGGAAAGATGACCCTCACCCACTGGAAATGAATGTAAACAGGGAAAGGCTTTACATCATCACAGCGGCAGGCAAAGAGCAGGCACCGAGCGAATATTTGTTGAAGAACAAATAAATTAATGCTAAAATTGTATTTTTCCGCCCTAGATACACTAGTTGTGAATCTAAAAATGACCACACAAACTGCCAAAATAGCCTATTATTCTGACTGGTAAAAGGCACACAGCCAAGTGCCAGCAAAGCCCAGCCCAACCCTCAGCCAGTGGCTACAGCAGCCAGGCTGCTTGTGGCCCCAATGGGAGAATTCCCTGCCCTGTCTGAGGATAAAGATGACTTGAAGGGTTCTGCTCACTGATACGTGAGGTGTGCCCAGGCAGTTCAGACAGGAGTCAGCAAACCTCTTCTGTAAAGGGCTAAATAGTAAACGTTTTCGACTTTGCAGACCATACAGTCTCTGTCACAATCACTCAGCCCTGCCCTTGTAGCATGAAAACACATAAACGAATGAATGTGGCTGTGCTCCCATAAAACTAGAAAAACAGGCAGTGGGCTGCAGGAAGAGGTCTCTGCACCCTAGAAACTCCTGACATTACCCATCAATTCTAAGGCACTCCAGGGTGTCCTGCCAGCAAGAAATACAGCGTAGGCAACAGGCCACTGTACTGCCAGCCCCCGCAACCTACCAAGCAGGTCCCGAGGCAGAACGACGCACAGAGCTACATTCAAGGTCCTTCTCCGCAGTGAAGCAGCTGAGTGTGCAGGTGCACACACAACCCAGGACCATAACTCCTTCTCTGTGACACACATCCCCGAATTCTGCAAGTCAATCAAACCGGCTCAACAGTAACTACAGATTCAGCGTGGCTGCCAAACACCTGGCAAGAAGCACAGTCACCTGCACTTTGGTCTGCGTTCAGGACCGTAATCACAGTAGCACGAGAAGGAAAAAGGAGAGAACTGAGCGGCCTCAGGCGGGTAACTGGTGCCAGCATGCCCTCTCCACTCCCCACCTTCTCCCCTCGGGCACTCACTTGATCTTCAGCAGGTTGAGGGATTTGTTAGATGACGCTGTTATTTCTCCAGTCTTGTTTCTATTGATGTAAACTGAGAAGCCGTTATTTTGGAAGCCAAACTCCTTTGCAACCTAAAACAAGACCCAAACAACAGAGATTTAATAAAATATTGAAGTCTCACTACCCTGACCACATATACATCAGACATTACTGGTGAGTTTAGAAACTGCTCCTCATTAGCCAAATTTCTCTTGTTATTTTGCTCTCTCGTGAGGAAATTTGAGTCTGGGGCCAAGAGAGGAGTCAGATCTGGAGCTTGACTTTTAGGATCATCAGAGTACAGTTAAACAAAGAAGAGACAGGGAATCTTGGCAGAGAAACAGAAATGATAAAATAGAATCAAACAAAAATTCTACAACTGAAAAACACAATAACTGAAATAGAAAATTCACTGGGTGGGCTTATCATCAGAAAGGAGATGACAAAAACAAAGTTAATTAAAGATGGGTTAGGGGCTTCCCTGGTGGCGCAGTGGTTGAGAGTCCGCCTGCCGATGCAGGGGAC